GTCATTGTGTAGTGTGTACTAGAACTCAGTAGAAATGGTTATTTCCACTGAGTCTTATTACACACTGCCCAGCCCAGGGATTGAACTCACAATCACCATGTCATCAAATTCCCAAACCAATACTATTGTAGTGAACTTGGAACCTTAAACATAACCTGCCTGTTGATTAGTGCTGCTACTGCTTCAGTTGAAGCCTTGCTGTCATTTGTTTTTCTTTCTTTATTAAAAGCTCCCATATTGTATATTGATTCTATGCTAGGCCTACTAAAGAGGTCCTTGTAGCCTAGTACATGCATTGATTCTTTCAGACATCTAACTCACCTCTCTTTTTCCTTGTCTATAATTTTCACTTCATTCCACATTTTCTCTCCATACATGATCAGCCATGGCTGATTTTTGTCCAGACAGTATCCCTAGACATCAGCAGTGGAACGAGAACAGTCTACTCCATAGATTAAATAAAGGGTTCAGTTCAGAATTGTAAGTTATCCAGATCAAAACACACATGAGGAAGGCTGGAAACATTGTGATAACAAGAAAAATGAGGATAATAGTCCAAACATAAATAGTGTACATAATGATAAATCCATATTGCTGTGGAGTGATTTCACAGTGGAGGCTTGTATTTGTACTAAGTCGGTCCTAAAATAGGTTCGACATACAAAACGTTAGGAACTTGATATAATAGGTATTACGCAGAGAAATCTAGTTGTGGTCGCTGATACTTTCGTATTTGACATCGACTGACCCTTGTTTCTCTTACTACTCCTACTTATATTACTTATATTAGGTGGAAGAGTCTATTAACTATAGAATAGGTGTGTTTCACCATAACACATATCCCAGAAAATCAGACGGAATAATCTTTTCATGTTTTGCTGAGAATGACCTATTTACATTAAAATTGTTTCTTACAGACAGTTACCATGAAAGTAGTTACCATGAAGCCATTTATCCATAAAACTATTTTCTACAGTTTAAATTCAGCATTGAAGAAAAACTTCAGGTTCAAACAGATCATTTCTTTCCTGTTTCTTTTTTATTGTAACAAAAAAAACTAAATTATTATTATTTTGGTAACTTTTCAAATAAGCGACATAAAATTATCTGTTCTCTTTAGTTTCAGCTATATTATATGGGAGACCAAGTGAGCCATCAATCCAAATGACTCATCACTAAAAGATATTTGACAAGAAGATTGGTACTTACTGGAGCACGGCAATTATCCTAGAGAGCCTATAACTGTGCTGTGTTGGTGAGGCACAATGACTCAAAACAAACCTACATTGCAACCAGTGTAACCAACCTTTTGGGGTAAATACTTGTCAAGATGCAACAGATGGTTATTGCTGGTATTGCAAATCACATAAACATTGTTGAAGTCAAAGAGATTATTCATTCTTTTGCCACTAAAACAACAGATCTGTTATATCTATTGCTGGAGTCACAACATGGCACTGAATGACGTCCAACACAAAGCACAGCATGAAGAATGCTAGTAAAATGCTTGCTATCTGGAGTATTTACTGTCATGATCTATACAAGATGTAAAGTGAAGAAAACCCTTCAATAATTAGTGGTATAAACAAAGACTGTATGCCAATTACCTATTGTAATAATGTTTAATTGTAATAATCATATATACCTTGGTCTTATTGATTTTACATTGTTCAGGGAATCATTTATTTTATGCTGCTTAAGTGAAAGACTGCCAATATTTTTATTATTTCAAGTCAGTGATTCTTGTCAAAATAATCATTGGTCAATTTTACTGAAACATTTAGTACAATTTATTCATTACAAAAAGCTTTAAGATTTTTTTTTATATACAATTATGTTCACTTGTATAAGGCCTAAGAGCCAGGGAACATATTAAAGGATATAGTGTTGGATGTTTCTTAAAATACAATTCTTGCCTAGTCATCTTGATTTTCATTTTCCATTTGACTTTGATTTCCACCAGGAAATATCTATGATTGGATCAAAGAGTCAAGGTTGGTACATCCCAAACATAAAAGGTGGTGCCAGTTCAACACACTAAAGGAAGAGGATCAAATATTTCTGAAGATTTTTCTTAAAATGATATTCACTATATACGAGCCACTCAAGGTAGAGGGTTAAAGAGTAAGAGACACAATTTATGAGCAAGATAATGCTTAATCCTAGAGTTGAACAGAATGGTGGGAAGAAGCAGCTTGAGTGTCAGTTACATCGCATAAATGGTGGTTCACTACAATATCGATTGGTACTGCAATCTGGTGGAACTAAGGAATGTATTTTGTCTGAACACTTTCCATGGAAATAGAGCAGTAAAAGACTTATAATATCACCCACAAGGATACCCATAATTCATCACCCTCAAGGATGCAGAGGTGCTTTTGGACTTCATCAAGCCTGGAAACTGAAGATTGTGCAGCTTCATATATGGCATCAGTAGTAGTAGTTCATTTTCAGGCTGGCTCTTGTAAAGGCAGAGGATAGCAGAAGGATTCAGTTACTT